GCGGATGACATGCTTTTTAAATTTAGACCATGAATGCGGAAACCACCCAGAGAAATACAATTTGATTGAGTGGAATACCAACTTGTTTGAACATACTGTACAATGATCAAATTTTATTTCATTATTATCTGGATAAAATTCGTGGCGGTAATTTTAATAGGGGTTGTTCAAAACAGACGGTAGATAAAAAAGACACATTGAACGGAAACTTTCGTATCTTTAATCTTATGTTGTGTGCCTATGGTGTCATTTCTGTTGGTTACTGATTGGTTGGTTCTGTTGGTTACTTGGCTTACGCGATCGTTGCCATCTGGTGAAGTAATGTGGTCCACGCTTGTACATATATTCAAGCCTCACTCTCTTGTTTTCAAAATCTTTGTCAAAATATAGATTTCGAGTCATTGAGTTCCGGAATTGTACAAGAACAATATTTTATATATCTTGTAATTTTTGTTGGTCAATATTACTTGAGAGTCCCGACTACATTTGGGAAAATATTTTAAAATATATGACGTTTTTTTGAATAATTAATTCTGCATAGGATTTATACCGCGTGGGATTCATTTGATAACTGCCGAACAATATTTGCTTGATTCGCAATCGTCGGTCGATATCAGGACATTAGTGATTAGGATAGGAAAGGATTTACATATTTATCCCGGGGGAGAGGAAAGCCGATAAGACGGCCTCTCGTCCGGTTACCATTCCAAGTCGGGTATGGGATTAGTTTTACTGTATTGTTTGTTTTCGGAAGCATGGACTTGGTGGTGGAGGAAGCCGTAACCGACCAGCGTTTACGTGAACCACCCAACGACGGCGAGGAGTCCAGCAATCCTCTCGCACATAACCATCCCTGCATGGGATTCAAACCTGCGAACCCACGCAGAGTAGTTAGAGGTGCGAGTTAGAGCAGTACTGCCTGGTATAATAAATCATGATCAAACAGGATTTATTGAAGGGAGAACGATTCATGAAAATTTATTAACTATAAGAGATGACATTTTTTGGGCGAATCAACAAAACCAACCTCTAATAATTTTCAGCATAGACCAAGAAAAGGCTTATGATACGGTTGATAGAGCTTTGTTACTCAAAATATTAAAAAAACTGAATTTCGGCAATAATTTTATTAGATGGGTTAATACCCTATTTAACAACACCAATGCAAAAATAAAAACAAATGGATATTTAACAGTATCAAAGCAGTTTAGAATAACACGAGGAGTTGGACAAGGTTGTCTGTCCCCTTGCCCCACTTTTATATATTATAATGTCCGAATTGTTAGCATCCAACATCCGATGCAATAGATCTATTATAGGTTTTCAAAATTGTACAGGTGAGTTGGAAAAATATAAAGGTTTTGCGGATGACACTATTGTCACAGTAGAAAGTTTATCCTCCATAGATGAAGTATTAAAACTAATGACAGAATTTGATAAAGCTACTGGGTTGAGAATAAATATTCCAAAATGCAACATAATGCTTTGTGGATCAGCAAAACGGATTAACTTAGGACCCTCATACAAGGGCATTCAAATACAGGAAGAATTGAAAATTCTGGGAGCCTCCATAGGAAACAGTATCGTATCCCGGGATAAAAACTGGTTGAAAATCATTAACTCCATTCAAAATGTAGTAAATTCATGGCAGGGATGAAATTTATCCATTATAAGAAAAATTTTAATAGCGAAATCGTTAATGTTGTTTAAAGTGTGGCACATAGCCAATTATGAAATTATGCCGGAAAAACTCATTCAAAAATTAGAATCAATAATATGGAAATTCATTTGGAGTAATAAATCTCAACTAGTGTCAAGACAAATTACATCTAGTAATTTCACATCCGGAGTTTTGAACATGTAAGACCTCAGAAGCCAAATAAAGGCTCTTCAGGTCAAATGGATTTTCAAAATACTCAAAAACGAAAGTAGGCCATGGAGTAAAAGAGCCATTTATTATATTAATAACTATTGTAATATTTTGTCCATGAATAATTTGGAATGTCTGTATTTGAAAGTCCGATTTGACAAAGTAACTACCATACCAAATTTTTATACAGCCATTATCAATTCATTCAAAGGATGTTAATTTGGAGAGAAATCTTCCCTTTAATATTACAGAGGTAAAAGATGAAATTTTATGGTACAATCCCTTGATATCAGAGCAAAATTTTCGATTTTCTTCTAAATGGATCCAAGCAGAAGTCATTTCTGTGACTGATATTGTAGATAACACTGTGCCTAATTTAACAAATATGATTTACTATATTGATCAAATTGGAAACCACCAAAGAAAGCTTTTTTATTTAAACAGATGCTCTGATGAAATCCAGCAGGTTTAGGGCAATCTACCCATAAGCTGGATAGAAAATTCTATCGAGAAATCGTAATTTAATAGAAAATAGACTTGGAATCGATAGATATATCAACTCTGATTTATCCACCAAAAAAATAAGTAATTTATTGGAAATAAGTAAAACTACAGAAATTGCTACACGCCATGACATGTATATTACACAAAAATTCAATTTAAATATTGACTGGTCCATAATTTGGCAATATAAACTCCATAACAAGTATAAAATTCTAAGTTGGAAAATTTTACATAATTGCCTACCTACAGGTGACAAATTAAAATATTGGTTTGATGATGAAAATGGAAAATGTGTATTTTGTCATGAAAATGAAGAAACCTGTAATCATTTATTTTGTTTTTGTGATTTGATATTAGATATTTGCCAGCAATATAAGGGAAATTAATTGTGACATAATTATCTAACAACATTCGTAGTGAAGTGGAATCATTAATCATTCAATGTGGAAAATCTGCCATATGGGAATTTAGGAACAGTGCCAAGTATGATGATGTATTCCAAATGCAATGCAATTTACGGGCAATTTTTAAATGTAAACTCCTAATTGTAATTGGACTAATGACTAATTTTGATAGGCAAAGAGTAATACTTGATAAAAGTGTGGATGATTTACTACAAAAATCTATAAGGGGTTGAAAATAACGAAATTTAGATTGTCCTAATTCAGGAGGTCTGTCTTTGTAAATGGTTGCATAACGTAGTCGGAGAAAAGAAAATTCTAACAGCATGATAGGTTTTCCATTTTCTGTCTAATTGTTTTAAATCTTCTCTTTTTCCATGCTAATATAAAAAAAATATTTATTTATCCATTTTATGATGCTATGCGTATGATGGAATATGGACAATGCTCGATACAAATGGATTTATGACAAATACTGGATTTTCAACATTGGGTTTCATATGTATACCGTATAGGGATGGGCAATATAGAATACCAATCCCAAAGTATTCGAATCCAACAGGATTCGATAACAGGATTCGGTTTCCGCCTCTCCGGCGCCCTGCGTCAATTTTTGTATTTCGGCTTTCTAATTTATCAATTATAGACGAGCGTTTTTCTCGCGTGGAAATCTCTCTCGTTTAATTAAACTTGTGTCTGCTCGCAAAGAACCCGTAAATTGGTAAACATCAGACACTGTAATTTCAATCGGCATATTAAGGACAAGATGTCGGCAATATAACCTCACGGCGAAGACTCGTTATTGCACCATTTTTGCGTTTTCCCGCTTTGCTATCTAGCTAGCGTATAATAATAATAATTATTTGTGCCGACTTACTGGTGATATTCCGATAATCTGAATGCAACAATCTTTAATTGTTTACAGACGTGCCATACTTCATTTTAAATTGATTTTTCGCGACCTACGAGTTTTCCCAAAAAATGATGCACGTAAACCAAAAGCCAGGCATTAAATGTTATAACATTACTTGCGATTGATTTAGATCAAATATTAGTTACGAATAATTTTATCATACCATTTTCCGAAATACAAAGTTATATCGCAAAACGCGAACATCTGTCACATTTAAATTTCACTCTCAAAATATTACATATTTCCCAGTCCGTTTCTATCGTTCAAGATAGACGCACATTTGATCGAGTGTCTGTAGTATTTTAGTCGCTGATAAACTTTAAAAAAAGTTGCCGCGTCTGGCGAAGATAGTGACATATTGAATTTGAGTAGGACTAAGTCTGTGTAGATAATGATTAATGATAACGTTTTTATCGTTCAAGATAGACGCACGTTTAATCGAGTGTCTGTAATATTTTAGTCGCCGATAAATTTAAAAAAAAGTTGCCGCATCTGGCGAAGCTAGTGACGTATTGAATTTGAGTAGGGCCAAGTCTGGGTAGATAATGATATGTAACGATAATCATAGAAAATGAAATAATCTTCAGATGCTATTACCTAATAACTAAGTACGAAATCGCGTTTACGGGAACTTGGTTTTACGTGTCTTGCTCGCACAGAATAAAAAGTTGATTTTAATTGATAGCGGTTAAATTTAATATTTCACAACGGCGCATAGGTTGCAGTGGCCACACGCTGGTTCTGCATCTAATTAATTCTCAGCGGGTGTGTTTCAGTACACTCGGCAAACTTACATTAATAATGATAACGCCGTTTCATGACTATTTTTGTATTTAACCGCTTACTATTAAAGTGTGTAAAGCGTGTCTTAATTTAGGATATCAGTATTTATTAGTATTTAGGGATTACATACATTTGGAACAATTGGAGGCAAAAAAGATTGTAAATATTTCTCAATTTTATTGTCCTGGGAAATGCCTGTTCAGTATCAAATGAAATCCAATGTTCAGGACATTTCCAAATAAATAATACATTCATAGTAAGTAATACATTTGCAATTTTACATCTAAATCCAGCAATGTAGAAATTCCCACTATTTGAATAAGTATGAAAATAGAATAGGATTCGGTATTCTGGATTCGATTTAACTATTCTAGAATATTCTAGAATAGTACATTATTCTACATTGCCCATCCCTAGTACCGTATAATTAATTGCTTATACAAGTATTGATTTTTCTACAATTATCTCAATTGGAACTCAATACATGCAATTGTTTTCCAAAAAAAAAAAGTTTGTATGAAACCAAAATTGACACTTTAATTGGCATAATAAAAAAATAAATATATATAATTAAATAATTCCATATTGGCTCTTGAATTCGATTCGGCACAAAAAAAAATAGTGATTGGCGTTACCATTGTTATGTTATCCATGTTGGGACATTAGTGATTGCCGTTACTGTACTGGTACAACACAGTACTTGGCCGTAGTGACCTAATTTTTTAGGGACACAGTCAGTCAATGGGGGAGGAGTCACGTATGCATAAATAGTTGCTTGACTGTGCCAATCTCACTAGAAATTATTGTGGTTCGAAATTACACCAGGCCCAAGGGATGAAAATAAATCCCACGGTACCAACAATTTGAAAAAATAGAAAATATCATTATTGACATTTTATCTTTACTGCATTGAAAATAGAAATACTTTTGAAATTCAAACAAAAATATTTAACTGTACCAATAATATTATTCATATCAAGTCTACATGGAATCTGCTTGCAGTAGTGAAGTTGAAATTCATTCCTCAAGAATAAGAAAACAACCTAAAAATTGTCGATGTGAAGAACACAAAGTGGAATTTAAAAAACGAAAATCATTTAAAAAAAATTTTTGTTTCATATGTGGGCAATTGTTGACCATTACCGATAGTTTGAAAAAACATTTGCGGACTCATATTGAGGAAAAACAACCTGAACCAAGATCATTAAAGAAATATGTGCCACATCTTCCTTGTGTAATATGTGGGCAATTGTGTTCCAATATTGATAGTTTGAAAAAGCATTTGCGGAATCACATTGAAGATAAACTACCTAAACCAAGATCATTAAAAAAATATTTGCCAGAACGTACTTGTGAAATATGTGGGAAGTTATCGGCCAATAGCAATAGTTTGAAAGAGCATATGCGAATCCACACTGGAGAGAAACCATACTCTTGTGTGATATGTGAAAGGAGTTTTTCTGTACTTTGTAGCTTGAAACGACATATGAAAACCCACAGTAAAGAACGACCACATTCTTGTGAAACATGTGGGAGATGTTTTGCGGAATCAAGTTCTTTAAAAAGACATGCAAGAATTCACACTGGAGAAAAACCATACTCTTGTGAAATATGTGACAGGGCCTTTGCAATATCTAGTAGCTTAAGACGGCATATGAAAACACATACTGGAGAAAAACCATATTCTTGTGAAATATGTGGAAAATGTTTTACAGAAAGGAATTCTTTAAAATATCACATTAGAAATCACAATGTAGAGAAACCACAATTTTCTGAAACATGGGAGGAATGTTTTGCAGAAACAAGCTTGCTGGAAGTAAGTAAAATGACTTGCTCTGAAGAAAATAATTTTACAGAAACAAGTTTTTTGGAAGGACAAAAAAGAACTCACTTCGGAGATGATAGTTCTACAGAGACAAGCTCTTCTGAAGAACATAAAAAAACTCACTCCGGCGATAGTAGTTTTACAAAGACAAGCTGTTTTGAAGAACTTAAAAAAACTCACTCCGGAGACAATAGTTCTACAGAAACAAGTTTTTCAAAAGAGCATGAAAGAACTTACTCTGGAGATAATAGTTTCACAGAAACAAGCTCTTTTGAAGAACATAAGACAACTCACCCTGGAGAAAATAATTTTACTGATATAAGCTATTTAGAAGAGTATAAAAGGACACACTCTGGAGATAAAACCTATCCTTGTGATACCTGCGGAAAATGTTTTATTGAAGCAAGCTCTTTGAAACGACATATAAGAATTCATACTGGAGAAAAACCATATTGTTGTGAAACATGTGGGAAAGGATTTTCGGTTTCAAGTTCTTTGAAACAACATATGATAACACATACTAATGAAAAGCCACATTCCTGTGAAACATGTGGTAAATGTTTTTCTATGCTAGGTTCTCTGAAACGACATTTAAGAATTCATACTGGAGAAAAACCACACACATGTGAAATATGTGATCGATGCTTTACAGTATCTAGTAGTTTGAAACGACACATGCAAACCCATACTGGAAAGAAATCGTTTGAAGTTTCATTATCGATGGTTCTACAACGCTGAAAATTAGAATTTCACAGCCGATGATGGCCTGGTTAATTAAAGCATTAGATGTAATCATGAAGGCAAACTTGAAAGATTCTGCTCCTTCTAGATCATGTAGTACTCGGTTCGGTAACCATTAGCATTGCAAGAGTCATTTAACATTCCTTCAATCAAACTCAAACCTATTCGGAGCCGCAACACCCACTCTAGTGTCAGTGGCAATTAAAACTCCCAGACAACCACATGATGCAACAATCTATAATAATGTGTTATTAATGAGGAGTAGCTGGCTTTATGCCTCCTTTTGCATTGAATCCTGACAGCTTCTAACAAAAAACTGCTGTAACCCCTTTATTTCACGGGAGCCGGAGCTCTGAGAACAAAGATCTGAATGTGGCTTCGGAGATACAGGTGCAGATTGCTGATATAAGAGCACCTAACAGGCAGTAGATGCTTGTATAGAGCCTTGTTCAGAGTTCAGTTCAGTTTAAAAAAAATTCTGTGGCAAGTGCTTTATATATGATGATATACCGTATTCGCTCGTTTTGTAGCCCGGGCCCATATTTTTTTCAACCAACTCACCAACCGGGCCCTTAATCAAGATGTAATTTCCTAATAATTTGTTGTAATAGTTGTAATTTCCTAATAATTTATTCCAACACTAATTTGTTTTTAATCCCTGCTATTATTATCTCAAGTATTGAGTTGAATTTGTACATTTAAAAAATTAATTTTAAAATTTGAAACCTTTGTTTTTTCGAGTCCCACTTCTGTGAAACTGCACTTGGGATAATGACACTCAATGGCCTTCGGGCTCCTGATCTAAGTGAAAAATTTCAAACATCCGTCCCAGGATAAATAAAGGATGTCGGTCATAAAGTGCAGAACTTTTCTTTCTGGATTCAGACCAGGGATGTCCAAAACGAATTCAATATTTGAATACGTTTGGAATTGGTTATATCAAATTCCCAATATTAGGAATAATTTAGAATTTTATCATTTGATTTTTTTCTTTTGAGGATTTATTATCTTATGATACAATAAAAATTAGTAACTTTAGACAAAATAAAATACAATGTTAGTCTAAATTATTCTGCATGACTAAATTTGATTTTTACAATTTATTTGTGTCTTTGAGAATTTTCTTGTTGAATGGACCCATTACAGGATATATTCAATAAATACTTAATAAATGGTTCGGCATCGCTGATTCATAACCACAGTTAATGTTTTTGTTCTTTATTTTGTTGCTTCCTCCGATTTCATATATTTTACTTTATGGTGTTATTGATGCTTATCTATTTTGTTGTTTATCATTGTATTAAAATTTTGCTATAAGTATATAACTGTATCCTATTGTAGGAATTATCAGAATAAAATTTTCAAATCCATCCAGAGTCGGCAACATAAGGCAAACCATGTACCAGTATGGAGGTAACTGAATTTTACATCAAGTTGTGACGGAAACCTATGGGCAGGTGGTTATACTCACTTGGCTAAAACAGACAGTCCACGAACTCGTAATGGAACTACAATATTCTCAGTTCAATCGGAGAGCTTGAGGGAAAATCGAAATAAATTTATGGACTAACCTGATACATATAATACGGAATACCCAAGTCAAGTAATTGACCAATTATTTAGGAACAAGAGAGTATTGCAAGTATATGGACACAATGTCTTTCATTGGTAAATGTCACAGAGCGCAGTTTGATATGATAGTTATAAAATTTAAGATCTGTAGAGATGGGCCTTTTTATTGGATACCCGAAGTAATTGACATGAATGCCTTCGTTTATTTATGTTTGTTACCAATATTTGTTATATACTAGTCATTCTGTTGACATTAATCAACCCTTTGTGAGTGTGCCATAATTATTTAAATATTAACAAAACGAGAATATCGGTCATAGACCGAAGACTTTATCTATCAAAACTGCGGCTTCGATTCATAACTGACTCTATAGTGACACCGTGTGTCTCATCACTAATTGATTAATAACTCGCTAATTATATGACATAGTTCATCCAAAATCGATAGGCTTCAGGTCCGAGATATGATAAATGCACATGCAAAATTTGGAGCAGATTCAACCACGCCTTCGTGAGATATCGTGTGCATCTAACATACCCCTATCAAATACCTATCTACATACATACATACATATGGCCCACATGGTACAAAACATGTTTAGTATATCAGTGTGGTATATAAATAAGGTTTGCCAACAACTTCTTTTTAGGGTTCAAACCTCTAGATTAAATTTATTTATGAAAGTCTGTCAGTAGTCTGCTGGCTTTTGATGACTTATGCACAAAATGAACTCTGTAAATTCTTAATTTTACGATTAATTTGGAATATTTTCATTTGATAATGTCTTTCTGTCAGAATTAAATAAAACAACGTCATCCCAATTATTTTGCAAAACCAAATTTAATTGCTATGAATTCACAATAGTGAAGGATTTCTAACGATCAAACAGACCCATTTCATACTTGAAAAGATTATGTAGGAATATATTTATTCAGTTTTGGCCACGCCTGTTCAGAATACTAACTCTGAGCCCAATCTGTCAAAGAGCAAAAAAACTCTGATTACCGTATTTTACAGACTTTATATCCATTTTTCTCAAAATTACAAGCCAATGTGCCTAATGCATGGATCACTTGCCTACACTCAATGGCAGCAGCACAAGCCCGATGTGCCTCGACAGTGAATAGTCCGTAAAATATGGTAATTTGCTTCCCTAAGCTGAAAACCATAGATAGCCCCCCCCCCTAAATTATTGACGATAATACATTTAGTCGGCAGTGGTGTAGTGTAATAACACTTGAGTAATACATCTAGCGATGGCTTTGTGAAGAGTAAACGCACGCAATATATCTTTCTTACTAACTTCTTTCTATCAAAGTAGCAAAGCTCCGATACTAAATTACTTTTAATACACTTATTAACATCTTCCAATGAATAATCAAAAAAACAATACAGTAACATTAGATAGAAAATAACAATAATTGAAATATATACACACAAGTCAAGATTGGGGGATGTTCCAAGTTACATAAATTCCACTACATACATACCAATCAAAGTTAATTCGCCTAAATATATCAAGTCTGTAATTTTAATAACAGGAGTTTATAATAAATAATCATTGTCATAGCATTGTTTTGAGTATGTATAATTATATATATAATTATTAGGAGTAAGTTTGGGTCAGTCCAAAGCAGTGTATAGCCCACAGAAAAGTGCCACAACTTTGAATAGTGTGCGACCTGCGAAATGAGTTTTCAATTTAGTTTTGGTTTGTGCGAGTTTCACCCAGTTATTTGTATCTGGCCCTCCTGTATTAAAGGTTGTACACCCCTGGTCTAAAGCATTTAGTTTGTTTATAATAAATATACATAAAAAGATTTGAAAAACATCGCTACATGGGTATGAGCACAAGGTAGATATAACTATTTGTCAAACATGGTAGAATTTCGGGTAGCACAATGACCAAAGACACTTTGAAACAAAAAGTAATGGTTTCCAGATGCTTCCATTTTCAGGTACTGAAAAGTTGAAAACCGATTGGCTGTGTATCTAAAGAAAATTGTCTAAAAAAACAATTTAGCAAACTTTTTACTTTGTGTCAACTAGGTCCATGACACATAAATACCAGTGAAAAGGTTCGCTAAAATCGGAGTGAACCCTCAATATAAATGGATAGAAATTATTAACAACAATTCTGACTATTTTACACCATATAAATATACGACATGATTAAAACCATTAGCTGCATAGACATACATATAAGAGCAGATAGGCGTGGAGTGTACAAATTCTGGGTCAATTAACAAATTAAATAAAATAATAATATTAAAGTGAAATCTTTACAAAATCTATGTAGCATTTGATTAAAAGTTGATTTTAATGAAAAAGTGAGTCATGCGTGGAATGGTTATTTGTTTTAAAGCTAGAAAGAATCATCATCAGGTTTTCCCAAACTTCTGAGACCGTGGAACTCTGTTTGTGATCTGACAGAACCCCATCCTACGCCGTATCAATTTGTGTGCTTAACCAAGAGGGCTGTGCAAGCGTGTGATCTCCTTTCATAAATCTGAAAACATTGTATTGCAAAATACCAGCAGTAAGTAAGATGTAAGTCCACCACAACATCGAAGGGCAGGCGTTTATTGTATAATAGGGACAGATTTAGGAATAAACAATAATATTCGGTTCGATTCGGCGAATATATTCGATTTGGACAGCCCTACTAACCAATGAGGTCAACCAATGTTTCGTATACAGCACAAACGACATTAATGTGATGAATGAGGTTGCTTTTCATTGCACGGATATTCGACCGCCACGATCAACCCAAAAGATGCAATGGATTTTTGATCGAAGTCAATCATTTAAGATTGATATGACTCTTTTCACATTGTTGTGGACCCCCAGGGGTTCGCAAACCCCATTTTGGGAAAACCTGATCTAGACGGTCCCCACTTCGGGGAAAGGATTCCCTCCCATTCCAACACTTAATTAATATTGACTGCATTTTACGCATCAGAGCATTACAAAAAATAAAGATGTATATCGAAGTTATTTTGTGACATTTAATATTCCCTTCCTGCTTCAAAAGTGCCAGACCAGTTATTGCCACTTTAGTTTGAAATTTGTGTCAATGTAGCGTGAGGTCCAGTGCGATGCTGCCTACCCAATTGCAAGCTGCTGTTTACCACATTGGAGATCCATATCATAAATCACTAAATTGAGGTGATGTCCATTAAGGGTTGCAAATGCAATGCGAAACATCTCATGCTATATATAGTAGCACTACTAAATTTTGGTAATAGGTGGTTGAAAATAATGAACATGAATATTGAGTGGCAGCAATGAGGTCCAGGATTATTTATCTTAAGTAATATTTACTTGAGGCTTGCTAGGATTTTTCTGTGACAGTGGATGGATTTCATATGCTCTGATCAATGCTCTATATTGAAAGATTTTGATGTTGACAAAAACTGTGAGAAAACATCTTCTATGGGTAAAACTATGAAATAAATATATGACCATACCGAAAAATAATGCGAGGCGGTTCATGCACCCAATTTGCTGGGAGGTTTATACTGCGGGATATTGCGACACAAAAACTGCAACTAAAAGTAATCAGACATAAAGAAATAAAATGATAGAAATCTTGTCAAATAGGCTTCAGTTTGGTGTGAATGTCTCCCTCCATATGATACTTGATACTACTTGAAAAATTAATTTGAACAAACTTATCAGAAGGAGAGTACACTTTTGGGCCAGATAGTGTTGTTTAAAATATTGTGCTTCGCAAACCATCTAATTCAGGATACCGAGATGATAAAATTTGTTGTGCTGTGTACATAATATAATATATATAGGTCTCCTTTAACATAACTCTGTTGTAAAGCTAGGACCACATGATAATTAAAAAAACATAATTGGGATTGGCGTAAAAGGTTGACACAAACTGACGAGAAAGATTTCATTCATTAAAATAGTTTTAAAACAAGAGGCCATAAAAAGCTGATACATTGAAAGCACATGGTAAAGAGGATTAACATACAAATTTGATTGTACATACAGAAAATTTGATATTTGAGGAATTGGGAGGGACAGTGGAACCAAGAACCAATCTCATAAGATAAGGTTATGTATTCGAATGAAGATAGGAAGGCTCAGAATATAGATTAACCTTGTGTTGTACTATTTCCACTTGTCTGCCTGCATTGGGTATGGTCATGATCAGGCAGCCGAACATTGGTATAAAATTCATGGGAGAAGGTTAATAATAGGATAGGATGGATCAACCATATTATGCATAAACAAAAATTTTCAAACAGGGGGGTTCTGATATTTCTAATTGCCAAGTTGGACCGTAACAACTAGAGCACTGGTTCTCAACCAGTGGGCCATGAGCCACAGAGACATTTTGAGGTGGGCCACAGAACAATTATAAAATGCAAGGGTTGTTGATTGAAAAAATTGATTCGTTAACATAATCAGCTTCACGCGTCTTGGGAAAACAATATATCCAATTGCAAAACATGCCTTATTGTAAAAACGCATTGTGACGCAACAAACACATTCTATGGTCGGATGGTCAGAATAAAAATTCATTCTGAAATATGATCTGTTGCTATTTGTTTTTAAAAGTTAGTAGTTTCTTCAAGCATAAAAAATTAGTGGGCCACGGGACTTTCGTGCGACAAAAAGTGGGCCACGAATGAAAAAAGGTTGAGAACCACTGAACTAGAGGGTCCGGTACAAATGCCGGAAAGTGTGGGTTTTCAAGATTTTTGAGGGTCCAAAAGGCGTTTCAAGGTGTGTAAGATATAAAACCTTTTTCTTATATTTAAAAAAATGCTTCTGACTCGCAAATCAAACTTTATTTTTTGTGTTTTTTAATCCAGGTTAAACTGTAGAAAATTGTTCCATGGATATAAATAAATACATTTTTGTCAGTGAGTATCAATCAACTAAAAGAGTGAAAGAGCGTCAGCTCTAAATCAGTTCGGTCACATTACAATAAAAAATAAAACTTGCATATGCTTCGCTACTGGGCAACAAGCCAGTCAGAAAATTATTAGAATCATATATCCTTATAAGCAAAGTCTGGTGCTTATATCCGATTCCCGGGCCATGTTATATGGAGATGCAGTTTTACAAGAAAATTGCTATACTGAGGAATTAAGGGTAAACAGCCATTATGGACGGAACATCAATAAAAATTAAAAAAAAAAGCAACAGAACGCACAACTTAAAAACTGAAATACCTCCTAACAATGCCACAAATAAACATTAGATTTTTAGGACATTTTTTACACGACTTAATCTGGACAAGCATCGCTAATACATGATGATGAGCTATCATTTTTCAGAAAAATGCAATTATTTAGAAAGGGCAGTTTAGTGTAAAAACTGTTGTTTATTTAGTACCAGATGTAGACCATATACTACCAATCTTACCAATCTACGAGTCATCATTTTGCTCCAATTACCATGAATATTTGGTATTATGATAATTTGGGCAAGTTGACTTTGGAGACCGTCTGTCAGTTCACATCACTCCCTCCTGTTTATACAAACTAATTTATTACTCGTTACTATTTTTCATTATTACGACTGTTGTTTTATTTGGTTGACGAAAAAATAAAATATCTCCCTTTCTATTTAACTGGCATCCTCATGGATTTGGTCAATATCGGCAGAAGCGATCTTTTTCACTAATTCCAGATAACCCTGTCCAAAAAACAGCAGTGTCTAATTTCCCATGTGAAATAATTCATATGGTACCCTCTTATAGGTCCAAAGAATCTCAAGTGCCAATGGAACGAGGGTCGAAAAGCCTCTTTCACAAATTTTGGGGTGTCAACAATTGTTTTTGTCAGTATGACATGATTATTTAGGCCATGAACATCTTTATGTCAGTTATCTATATTACCGAGCAATGAAGATTAGTATAAAGCCCGATTGATATAAATATTCATGGCCCTAGAACCATGTAACTGAGAAGTCAATGCTAAAAAGTTTAACAGTTTGTGCATAAAAGCTCATAGAGTTGATAATTTGAAGTTAATGACCCTTAAAGTTCGAAGTTGAGAGGTCACGTTGTCTTTTTCAATCCTACAGCAGCAGAAGCATTGATGAAACTGAATCCTCTGAAGCAGCCTTGATCAAGACTTTGAATAACATCTTTGTCTCCCTGTGAAATTAAAGTGTATATATTGAAAAAATTGATTAGTTCATGCGCTTGGCTATGTCGGGTATGGGATTAGTTATCCAGTTATTTGTTTCAGATGCATGAACTTGATGAAGGTCCACCTCACAGAGGTGACGTCCAGCACATAAATATACAACGCAGGACACAATCTTGCACGGGTGTTCTTGCTTAGCACAACTGCCAAATAATTTGTTCCAGATGCATGGATTCATGGAGAAAGCCGGTAACAAATCAGCTGATATATGAAAAAAATTACTTTGGCAAAGATGCCAGCAATCCTTCCGCATATAATGATCCGTATTTCCAGCCCAATAAGCAAACCGCCAAATGAGAATTCCGATTCTCAAGACATCTTTGCTAAAGGCTCAGTATCAGGGCTCTACAAACTGGGGGTCCCGTCCTCCGAGTGGATTGCAAAAGGGCTCCAACAGGGTTTGTGGTAAAATCTTTTTCAACACTAACAATAGTGATTAAATTTAAAAGATTTGAAACCAGTAATGGGTTTCACTATCGTCGAAGTAGAGCCAAGATTCTAACTTTTGCGTGAAAATATGTAAGCACATCAGTCTCATTATAGGTATTTTATTTATTTTTTTATATACTTTCTGTATTATTAAATTTTACTTTATTTTTATTTTAGTTCATGAGGGTTGCAAAGAAATTTGGCCGTGCCGAGTGGGTTGTGATGAAAAAACACAATTAATATAACAAACCTGTGTCAGCCTTGGTTTTTCAGCCAAAAATTCTTTATCAAAGTTGCTGTAGTCACTGGCAGATCTCTGAAAAAATAAAAATAAATGTTAATAGTAAGGATTATTCACAGGTTTGTGATTTGTTATGTTAAAGTATTTCTTTCTAATTTAATCGAAAGAAATGAAAATACCATACAGTACTATCGTAACACAATCTCCATTTTTTATATTTGAAGAAATATTTCAACTCATTCTTGGGATATTTCTTGCTAAAATAATACATAATGAACAGGTGGAAAAAAATTGGGAGGCAGCTTGCTCTACCATTCAATCCTGGAACGTTCTGTTCTAGTTCTGTTCCTGTACTATACTAGACTTGGACCGGAAATGGGATCAAAGTCGATATGAAAAATCCCATCCTCTCATTTTATCAAGAATTCAGAGAGAATGGCCTGCTTTATTTGAAAGTGGGTGAGCATGTCCTTGCTTTAAACAAATTTTCTTAAAAAGAAAAACCTGTGCAGCGCCAAAAGCTGTCTGTTTTAGTAAGCAATTTGAGCAAATCTATTTGAGTAAATCTACCAATACAAAACAACAGAAGAAATCACAGAAGTGTGGTGTGACCTTGCAAAAGCAAATTTTCTCAATTAAAAAACCTTGTACAGTGCCAGTGGGTGGGCCCACTTTCAAATCTATCCAGGTCGAAAAGTGAAAACAGACTTACAACTTTAGGTTTGAATGGCGGATCAATTTGTCTCTTTTCCAGTCGTTGGAAATCAATCGATGTGAAGAATGGGTGGTCTTTGACTTCATTGATGACGCCGAGACGATTTTCAGGTTCTTTTTTAAGAAGCTGAAATTGATAACAAATTTTTTAACTGTTTTTTTTTATTGTTTTTCTGGCAAATAGAATTTTCCTAGATGGCTGAACATGACATGTGATGTCATCAGTTACGATCATAACCAACCAGTTGTGAAGGTGAAGTGGCCATGCGCACTCAGTTTTCTGGTGCACAGTGCAGTTGGTGTTGCTTATTGGTTACTTTGGATTTTGTTTTGGAATTTTACTAAATATACATTTGAACCGGATTACCTAGAATAATGCATTTTGATTGCTTTCATACAGTGGGAATAGCAGTTGCATTAGGAGTAGCTTTTTACATAGCAATGGCTGTCTATGACAAATGCGTATAAAAGTGTCGTCATGAACAATTGAGCTATTTGGGAAAAATTTATTTTGATCGCTTTAGTGTATGGGCTGATATCGATTTCCCTGGCATCATGACTTGAATTGTTGAATTCAATAGTTAAATAAGAATAAGCCGAGTTTAAAACCCCCGAAAAACCTCAGCACAATGTTACAGAAATATATTTCTGTTTGTGTATAGAAAGACGCACTTGATACAGCACCCTGTATTATATACACACGGAGCCACTGGCACAAAAGCATAGAAAAAGGTTGGGTACTCCCGTCGTGTGTGTACCTAGTTAGGGTTAGGCCATAATTTGATTCCGATTTTCCTTATTTTAGTTCTATTACGAGTTCGGAGACTGTCTGTGTTAGCCGAGTGAATATACTCCCCTAGTATTAGGTTTCAGTCCCTTTACACAACCTGATGTAAAGTAGGCGAACAAAATTAGGTACCTTTATATTGATACACACACTTTTGCAGCACCGAAAGTTAAGTACCCTACCCAACTGATAGCACAAGTTTAAATTTTTACCTCCTTTATACAAGCAGTACAATCCTTGGGCATCCATCTTGGAAAGACTGGTTCTTTAGTTAGGATTGCATTGAATAAATCTTCCTCTTCTTCTCCATGGAAAGGTGATTGTCCAAGCATCATTTCATAAAGCAAGACACCGAACGACCACCAGTCCACACCAAATGTATACTTTTTGTTCTGTAGAATCTGGAGAAGTAAGAAATAAAAAGATTGTAAATGCTGATATTCTTGTTATCGATTCTATTATTGTATGGGATTTTTCACAGCACCTAATATACCTGATCAGCGCTTTCCAAAATTAAAAGAATACTTTACTACAAGCATGCCTTTTTCATATCACATACATGTCTTGCACTGATATATAAGGAACTGATTTTTTGAAAAAAACGAAATCTACGCGGTATGGCATTTCAGTCTGTTAAATTTTACATAGATCATAGACAGACGAAGGTGTGGATTTTACTTTAGAAGTTTTTCAAAGGGTTAACAATAGAATGAATTGATATTGAGTTGAGATTATACCATATGAGAGATTTTTTGGGATTTGTCAAGAAGTAAATGATAAAATTGAGGGTGAGCCTCGCTGATTTGGAGAGACATTACAGGGTCAGCCAAAAGTTGAGGTACAGTCACTCCATTATTTGTCCGTGTTAACTGTAACCCCACTTCTGGCCCACTCTGTTTCTTGGAATTTAAATAGAACTAAACTATTTGGACACTCTCGATAAATAGCGAAGTTTTCCCTAAAATACAAACAGAAAGACTCCAAATTGAGGTATTAGAAAAATGGGATTTGATTTTGCGCTTTTCAAAAAGCTGATGTAGAGGCACCTAATCAGATACGAAACAACAAGATCAGGGAATTTACCTCAGGAGCGATGTAGTCTGGTGTTCCACAAAACGTAGATGCTTTGTTAGTGGCAGTGATATTCTCCCGACACATCCCGAAGTCAGCAATCTTAATGTGGCCGTCACAATCCAACAGAACATTGTCAAGTTTCAGGTCACGATAGACAATTGCTGTACAAATAGAAACAGAACAATGAATAAAGACTAAACAAACTTGGGCGTACCAGGATATTGTGTGTTAAAACAGTGAACCCTCCTTCCTCCTTGTTTACTTTCTACTTAGGACGCTCCAGAAGTGTGTGTCTACTAATATGGATAAACTAATTTTGTTTGTGAGTTTTTTTTTCATCGAGTTTTGTAATTGGACTGAAACCTATGGGCAGGGGGAATATTCACAGACAGTTCCCGAACTCATAATAGAACTAAAATAAGGAAAATCGGAATAAAATTATTGCCTTACCCTAACCTGATATTACACTATGGGAGTACCCATGAAAGTTTGACAGCCACCATACTGTTCTTTTAAATACCCATCATTAGCATATGTAAACTATGAAATAATTATAACTATTTAACTATGAAATAATCACACATTTAGAACTCACATTTTCCATGTAAATACTGCAGGCCTAACACAATTTCAGCGGCATAAAATTTAGCTCTTTGTTCGGTGAAGCGTCCACTTGCTTGGATATGAAACATGAGATCTCCACCATTCAGGTATTCCATCACAAAGAATAAATGGTCCTGAGAAAAAATTTTAAAATCTTAAAAATATAATAACTTATGTTAGGGTGAAGCAAGATTCTCAAATCACTTGGAGGAGTGAACTATGTTTGCCATAGGAAGCCTGACTTTAGTCAGACAAAATGTTACACATATACCATATTTAACAGATCATAAACCGTACCGTCAACAAAGTGCTTATATTGTTTTTTTATTTGTAGGTAATAAAGCACTACCGGATCAATACAAAAAAACTTCAGCATTAGCAAAGATTAGTATGATTCAGTTTCAAAATTTGACTCAGGCACCTCCAACTCTCTAAATTTATACTCCAGAGATAGGTAGCAACGGAAAATAAGCGACTACAAACCATTAAAAAAAGTAGTTTCTGGTTGACAAAGATGGCTCATATTCTAAGACACAGACTTTGAGAAAACAAAATTTGGAGTATGCGGTCTTTCATAAATTGACTGTTGAAATTGCTTAGTCAAATGTTTGTGAACACTCACATTAGTCTGGTAAGTACAGAACAGATGCGTCAAATACGGATGTTCACAAGCGAGAGAGAGAACCCTTCGTTCAACCATCGTACATTCAACATCATCATCCTCGACTACGACATCTTTCTTCAAAGCTTTGATCGCATAGAATTTATTGTGACCTTTCAACTCTGCTAGAAGCACCTAAAAAATTGGAAGCAAACATTATACTGTGTATTGAACTGCAGGTTCTTTTTCCTTGACTCCTCTTTACTTTGGATCTGCCGTTGCCACAAGAATGCTTGATGCTTAGTATTAAATTAAAAAAAATAATGATGGTAGTTTTCTTTTTAATTGATTTCTCAATCACTTATTTTATTAATAATAATAAAGACCCAGCACACTTTGACAGAGAATAAAAAAATTGCAGCATTGCAAAAGGTGCCTAGTGACTACTCATGGCCCCCAGGGAATGCATTGCCCACAAGGGGAGGTTAGTTAATGACAACTCGTTCCAATTAGATCAATCTGGTCATTATTAATAAATGGTGTCTCGAGTCCAACTTCAGTGAAGCCAATGAGTCGAGATAGCCATGTTTGCAGTGAAAGTGCGAGAACCCCCTTTTCCTCTCACCTTTCCGAAACTTCCTTTCCCTAGGACCTTCAGCAACCTGAAATCATCGCTTGTGAATTTGACCATGCCGCGTTTACTTGCTCTTGGTGCAGGGATAGGGGCTGCCTGGGGTTTAGAGCCTCCTTGGCCTGATTGTGCACCCCATAATGGCTCGTAAATTTGACCTAAAAATAGTGTTTAGTAGGGTCTATAATCAACATAAAATGTAAGCAAAATGGTATTCTACATGTCCTTCACTAAGCAAAATTTACCGCATAAAATAACGTTTTTTTTTAATATCTATAAAAATTGTTAAATATGCTTAAAAACAGAGATTGCCTCGTACAAGTTATCACAAAGCAAGACGCCAAATAAAAGTGGAAAGAGTACTGATAGAAGAGTTGCAAGTTTGCTCAAAGCAAGGTCCCGCACTCACAATTAAAAGTAGGAAGAGTACTGATGGAAAATTAAAAGTTTGCTCAAAGCAAGGTCGTGCTAAAAGCAACATGTATGTTTATAATCCCTGAGACAAAGATGTCATTATGAGTTGTAAGCAGATTTTATAAACGCAGGAGGATCTCAGTAAACAACAGTTTTTACTTGGTTGAAGTAAGATAATGCACAGTCACTTGGAGATGAAGAAAATCTATCAATATAGGGAGCTTTGTACCACAAATAATGCTTCAAGACTGAAATATGACTGTAAATATAAAATTTGTGATATAAATACTAGGAATAGTCAATGGCTTGAAAAATTTGCTTTTGTAGTTTATCCCGCTATTTGTACAAAATATTATGAACCTCGTCCCATTGAATGTTTGGAAACAATTTGGGAACTTTGTAGATGCTTGGAAGAAAAAACAAAAGAAAGTATTACGACGTAGAATTATATGTTAGTGAATACCAATTGACATAAGAACTGAAGCAAAATAACTTACTGTTGGGCGGAGTTGACATTGGTCTGGGTTGCTTTGGAACTAATAATTGACTTTGTGGAACGTCTTCATATATGCTGGATTCTGGTGTGGGCAGTTGTTTGGATCCTTTCTCCTGAAAAATATTTTTTTTTACAGTCAAGATTTTTTTTACCAAAAAAGAAGTATAATAGGCTGTAAAGATGTAGTATAGCATGTTTGCGTTTATTTCGGCAACGTTTCTATAACTCCAAAGAGTCCCGATTCGAAATTCAACGTTGGTATAAGGCAGTGTTCCCCAACCAATAAAGCAGTGTTCCCCAACCTATAAGGGCAGTGTTCCCCAACCTATGGGTTGCGACCCAAAACTGGGTCGCCTGAAAAGTTTCTTGGTCCCTTGCTTCTTCAACATAAACCAAAAAGTTACTAATTTATATACAAGTAAATTTTATTGCTTATTTTATATTTGGTTCAAATCCCATTCCCACTACCTTCTTATGGGTGTAATAAATTGGGTAGGCTGAGACATACAAACCTCTACTGAAGGCAGTTTATCCAATTTCTCCAATGCTGCAGCAAGTAGAGACTGATTTACTCCACAGGTATGCGGCATCTTCTTGTAGCATCGATGGTGAGAACTAGTCCCACACTCTGATAAAAAAATTAATATTTGAAAAATTATTCCGTATTTTTTTTACATAATTCGGAAAGTTGGTATTTATCAATGTGAAAGCCTAGTAATATATTTAAACCCGGGGTGTGCAACAAGAAACCCATAGGCCACAATCTGGCTCGCCAAGATATTTAGTGTGGCCCTTGTCAAAACTCAGATTTTTCCCCATCAAGCATAAAATTGAATATGACAGTTTATGTTTAAAAAGGCGCTCACATGTGTAAAAATACATAAGGTTTTTGGTGACCGAACATTTGAACCCATGCGTATATCCACAGGTTCAATCTATATGCGGGTGCTAAAACCCATGGGTTAGGTTTAGTATGGGTTTAAATATCCGTGAAACAAAAAAAATTCCATAGGTGCAAAAGCATACAGGTGCAATTGTCATGGGTTCAAATGTACGTGGGTTCAAATGTAATGGAACCAAGGTTTTTTGCTATTGTCGCTGCGTTGAATCTTTTGTCATTTTGCCCATTGCCGGGTTTGCCCAGCTAAGCAACAGCCGCATTTCTTTTTCTTACCTTATCCACATGAAAAAACTAAATTTTTTGCGTGGCCCGGCTAAATATATGTAGTTAGTTATAAAGTCCACCGACAAAAAATGTTGCACACCCATGATTTATAAGGTTTTCCATTCTGATCCATTTATTTGTCAATACTAACACGTCCTTTCAAATAATAGTATCTGCTCACCCATCTTTGGATATCAGTGGCTGTTTGTAAAGAGCCTTGTTCGGGGCGCTACCGAAGTATGTGCACCAAGATGGCAGACACAGGAACGTAGTATGTGTACCAGGTTGGGGTTAGGCCATAATTTTATTCCAATTTTCCCTATTTTAGTTCTAATACGAATTTGGAGACTAGCCAAGTGACTCCAGTAGTAATTGTACCTGAAATTATGACCTAACCCTAACCATGTACACATAGTACGTTCCGGTGTTCGCCATCTTGGTTCACATACTACATGAGTACCTTGTTTGGAGTGTAAGTCATGAAAAGATGTCATCAAATTAAAAACACTCACCTTCGCATTTAACTCCTTGCTTGACAAGACCATACAACATGGAACCGCAATGATCGCAAAATGTCGGTCGAAGAAAGGTGCAGACTTTGAACCTGGAAAAAGTTTCAAATATTATGATTTTGCTTTATTTAATCATATAAAAAATTTTACGCTTTGAGCCTCAATAATGAAATAATGGGAAGAAGAAAGCTTGGCTTGGTTGGCCATGTTTAAAAGTCACTTTCGTGACAGACTTCGTGACAAAAGTAAACACATTTTTCTTCACATTAACAAAAGGATTGCATGTCTTTGAAATGGCCTCAGAGATATATAGCAATCTCAGGATGAAAAAAAAAATTTATACAAAAAATGTAATCAAAAAAGCCTATATCTTACCGACCCCTTTTCCAACTGCCCCCCCCCCCTCCAATATTATATGAATACTCACATTCATTAATAAAAGTGTTTTGTTCATATGGCCCATTCATCTTTACCAATGCATTCACCAATATTTGAGTAAATTTTGAAAAATTCACAGCATTGTCGTGGCAAAAAATGAAAATTAGCAGATTTATTTATATTAGTGGGGGGGAGAGGATAACCGGAAAAGGCCCATCTACTGAATAGACTTACCTGTGAGGCATGTTGATCTTGAATCTTTCTTTCAGATACTGAAAATAGACAGTGAATAAAATGTATGCTTGGGAAAAGGAATGACAAGCGTGTGAGTATGCTTGGGAAAAGGAATGACGAGCGTGTGAACCCAGTTCAAATACCAAAAGTCGCCTTGAGCTGCTGGCCATTTAAAGTTTACATCTTTGAACAATCAACTAGTTCAGCGGTTCCCAAAGGTTGCGCAAAGTTTTTTCTTTGATAATTTGGCGCCTCACAGATAAAAAGTTTTGGAACCGCTTAACTAGTCGACCATCCCCACACCTGATGTAAACTGGAAACTATACGTCTATCTGACCCCAGTAAACCATTCACTCAGCCACCATGTGACAAAAAGTGTAACATTTTTGTATCCATTTATCCTCATAAGACTCAAAAACATGGAATTGTTGCAATGGCAAGGGTTTTCCCAACACCAAACATTGACTTATGTTTTTCGATATCTATATTTCAGAATGTGTTACAGTATAACCCAAATTTGTCCAATCTTGCTTTGAGCACAGAACTAGTACATTGATGTGTTTAGAAATTTAATCTAAATTTGATTTATGCAGTGAAACAATAGCAAATAGATAGAAAAAAATAGCCCATAACTGATTTTATATAATTATCACATAAAAATCAGTATTGATTAATCAAAAATAATGCAAAATAAATCCGTTATTTACCACTGTGTGAGCCGATCCGACTGCAGTACGACTGCACGATGCAAGAACACAATAAATGCATTTTTTATGCAACGCAGCTCCACAATCTGGTAGTATGATGTCATAATCGTCATCATTGTTGCATCACCAATATCATCATGATTTGAACAATAACATGCAAGAAAATAAATAAACCAAAATAAATCTTTCGCACCCATAAATGAAAGGTTAGTACACAAAATGAAAGAGATTGCAATTTTGCAATACCCAGTAGAATTACTGAATTTATATTCAATTGCGACCAGTGATAAGATAGGAAATTTTAAGAATGGGTTATTTTTTTTGCGTGTCCGGAAAATTCGCCATAGGGAACATATGGTAAAATATTGAATTTTGCAGCAAAAGTAAAACAAGTATTTGTAATAAAAACAGTTAGGTATATAGTGTTGGGGTATGCACTTAAATAACGAATCCTTTTTAAATAAATACGGTACTTCAAAAACAGCAAAATGCTCTTGCGGCGAATTTTCCTATGCGACGAAATTTCATGCGGCGAATTTTCCTAGAACCATTTTTTTGTATTGAGTCACTAACAACAGGTCCTTTTCTTCAGAAAAAGTATGTATCTCACTATGTAAGCTACATTAAATCTTAATACATGACATTAAAAATGCCAAATATAACGCCAGTTGCCAACTGCGGTGCGCGTTAACATTAACTGCAGTTGATAATGTTTAAAACATGAAAAAAGTTGCGCGAACCCCTGAAAAACACCACTGCTTGCAACCTTAGGATAAGGTTTTATAGAATGAGACTCATTGTAGCTCATCAAGTGGTTGCTAGAAACTAAGAATATGGTAATTTTTATCCTTGGAGCAAATACATTGTGACTCCAGAGAATAAGGGTATCAAAATATTCACTTTTACTAATATTAGGTTTTACAAAATTTTTGTGCCTTTTTGACTATTACTTCGACTGCTCGGCTGCAAGCAATAAGGTAACAGATTCATGATGGGTCATTGCGGTGGTACCTGGAGGTCACTAAATTGGTTGATGTGAATTCACTAGGTCAATTCCACAACAAAATCTTAAAAGAGCGCATTGTAAGTTTAGTATACGAAACCTATTGCAGAGATAAATCTACAGTAAAATCATTTTTGTAGACAACCATTTTTATGTCAGTTAATGCTGACACTAGAGCTCGATCGATATATCGGCCAACCGATATATCGGGCCGATATTGCGTGTTTGCCGATATATCATATCGGCCCAACCGGCCGATATATCTGGCCGATATATATCAGCGTTAGTCGCTTTTCCACGTTCTAAAAAATGAGTAGTTTTCCCGGGAAATATCTGCGGCCGAGCGTTTCCTTTTTTTCGCTTTTCTCATTTTGCCTTTCAATGAACAGAGAGTTCTCTTCTATATTTCTCTCTCCCTCTTTTATCTCTTCGTGCGGCGCAAAATCCTCGCCTTCGAACATCTTGCGTCCCCACTAGGCTTGCACGTAATCGACAAAAATCAATTCAAAATTGGTTACGTAATGACCTCGTAATTGCGATATTTTTTCACACGTTTAAACCTATCATAAAAACCATTTGAATCCACTTCTTTTCCGAAAGCGACATCGAAGTTTGGTTTTCCTATTACCGACAGTACTATCGCCGGCGACAGATGTTAAAGACAAATACCAAGGAGTGAATTCAAATTAAATTTATTCTGATTTTTTATTTTGTTTTATTGTGTTGGCTTTGATTTCCCTTTATCACCTTCGCGAATTAACCGTCCCAATTTTATCATTACCGACACTGGTATACGGATATTGCCTTTTTTTAAATCGACTTTCGTATTGAATAAAAATTTCGGGTTTCTAAGTTATTAATCAACGACAAGCGTATTATTCTCTTGTTGATTATACCTGCGCTTGCCTCGCGACGAAGACTTGTTATTGCTCCGTTTTTTACATTATCCGACTTTGCTACCTAATTAGCATTTTATAATAATTATTGATGCTGAATTACTGACGATATTCCGATTACCAAGCTTCATTTTATATCAAATCATTTCGCGGCCTAAATGTTATAACATTATTTGCGATAAATTTAGCTCAAATATTAATTATTTAGCCGGCGATAAATTCTTACCCGTAACTCGTAAATTAATGCTAATAAATTTTATTATGTTTTTTAATGCGCTGTGATTTGTATTAATAAAAGTGATTGAGTCGGGAAAAGAAAGTAGCCTAGCCTTCTCTCCTTTTGAGCGCTTATAGCGGCGGTAAAATTCGTTTCATGTATGTTTCACTGAGAGAAAGAACAATACGCCTTCCGGAATTACAATCAACTATCACACATTCTTATCTATCATTATCAGCGCCGAATAAAAAAGATATCAAATCGTGAAGACAAAAAAGTCTGTCGGTGTTAATTGCGTTACGGTGATAACGCTTATAATAATATCGTTTTGACCGTGAAACCAAACGCTCAAACGGAGTGGCAACACGTCATGCAGGCTCAAATTGGCTGCGAATACCGGAACTCTAACTTCTTCTACTTGTTAAACTATCATTTTTTACAATCGACGGAATTGACTGCTTGGAAGGATCACATTTCAAACGCGAAAGCTCTCGAGCAATAATTACAACTTTACGTAGTTTGTAACTTTCCTTTCGTAACTCGAAATAATTCCGTAAATTACGTGCAAGCCTACTCCCACCTACTACTGTATGGATCAAAATGGATTTCTATAAGCTTTTTACTGACTGCCTTTTTTTTGTGCATTAATGTGTGTTCTTATTGTTTACTGTGAAACTTTTATTAATGATGCAAGCACTGTGTAGGACTGCTTGCTTTATTATTCAACATAAACTTTTGATTGACTGAAACTGAATGTTTCTTTCTATTCGTATTCACTGCGGGTTCAGGTTGTAGATATCGGTATGTCGATATCGGTTATCGGTCACTAGTTGGCCGATATATCGTTATCGGTATCGGTGCCAAAAAGTGATATCGGTCGAGCTCTAGCTGACACACGACTTTATCAAGTCTGACTATTAGGAAAAAGTGCTTGAAAGCACAGAATACAAAAAACCTACTGCAAAGATGAATCATAATAGGTAAAGTAAAAATCTATTTTTATGCAAAGTCATGTTTTATGTGATCAATTCTGCTATGTCAGTGTAAAAAAGTTTAGGATACCTGAACATAGCAGATATATAATCAATTTTCTACAAAATCGTGTGTTAGTAGAACAAAAAGAATCAAAATTCACGAAAAATTTTCATTTTTTTGTAGAATTTCAATGAAATCTTCGATGATAAATTTCAGTGCTATTCAAAATGGGAATGAAAAAAACTTAGATCCACAAACCAAAATAATTTGATGTCACCGGGCAAGCAAAACAAAGATTGGTATTATTAGTTTATATTTACAAGGTTTAAATCGCTGGTTGAACCGACACAAACTCCCAAAACGTGCTCTTTACACCTCTTGTGGATTGCTGACTGGCAGACTGAGATAAATAAGTTAAATAAATAAATTGTGAGTATACGATTCGTGTCTATTGGGAGTAATTAAATTATGTTGGGATCATAGGTCAAAGGTCGAACACTTCTGTGGCTTTCATTAGTATATGACATCTTCATGCCTTGGCTCTGCACATACTATTTTCAAACCTTTCTCAGTGGCTAAAATCATATGGCGAAACCACAGCCTCTCGTCCGTTACCAGTCCGTATTGGCTATGAGATTAGTTATTTGTTTTTTTGATGCATGGACTTGACAGTGGAGGAAACGCAACCGGCCAGATGTTACGTGAACCACCCTGCGGTGGCAAGGAGTTTAGTGATCTTCGCACATAATTAACCCTGCATGGAATTTGAACCTGCGAACCCTCGCATGGTAAATAGAGGTGCCATGGCGAGCGCATTCCTAACGCTTAGCACAATGTGCCACACCATCGAGCCTTGTTCCAAGTGAAATAGCACTATGTAGAAATGACACAAGTCAACTTACAACCGTAAAATACAAATTGAAATGAATATTTTATTCCTAATGCTGAAAACCGTAGGTGATAAATTGTAATTAAATGCCAAATCTTTGAAGTTGAAATCAAGCTCATCAAATATTAATGCAAATCTGACATGAGCAAACCGCAGCCGTCAAAATATTCACACTTAGCATAGAACGAACGTCTCTTGGGACAAATTTGGTACCAAAAATCCAATACCTATCAGAAACAGCAGCATTTTCTGGTTTTTAATGGTACACATTGCGTTTTGAGCATAAATATTTATTAGAAATACAACACAATGAATAGAATCTCCGGATATATTCAAAAATAATCATATTCGTTATTGTAAATCCTTGAAATTGGGAATAACATAGGATATCTTGATTTGAAAATTTATCATTTTAGAATTGACGACTTATAGTATAAACCTTTATTTAACTTTAAACTCCTATCCCATTCCATGATTTATGCCTAAATAATCTTTTATTTGTGTAAAAATGTTGAAAAACGCTGCAATAATCAATTGACGAATACTTCCCTAGTGTATTAATATGTTGACACTTATTAACAATATTTGAATTTGTAAATGAAATAATGTCTGTAATTCTTCTATGCAAACAGATAGCAAAAAGAGATCTTTCTGAAAGAGATATCCAGAACCCCAAACTAAAAGTTGATTGTGCAATTCCAAACCAGGAAATTTTTTGCTCTTGAAAAAAGCAGCAATCTGAGTGTATATGTCAATGTTTAGCCAGATTCTTATTTGGAGTGAAGACTAGGGCTGAGTATTTTCAAATACCTTGTGATTTCAGAATCGAATCGAGTAATTTTTTCGAATCGAATCTCGAATACTTGGAAATATATAATTGTAAGCGACTTTTTTACAGTAATTGGTCCTGTTTACAAATGAATTACTGAAGACATAGAATACATCACTCAGATAGATTACTGAGCGTTTACACACAATAACAAACACGTTTTATCAATAACTCACTACTGAGTCATATGTTAGAATTGCCTTGAAAAATTATGACTCCAATGAACAAAAAAAGAGGAATTCACCTAGATCATTGGCGAGAAGAAAAAAACAAGATGGCGGCGATTCGAAATTTAGCTTTGAACCGATTCGAATAATTTACTATTCGATTCGAATATTCAATACGAAATGCCCAGCCCTAGGAAGACATAAATAGCCTCCTAAAAAATATTTACAAACCGAGCAGTGTTAGACATATCAGAAATAGTGCCCAATTCAAACTTGTAATAAATGTTTCCTATTCAAGATTTCAAGCCAAGGAAATTTGAAACCATGAATATTAATGAAGGGGTGTCATTTCAAGACCGTTGCGACAATTTCTTTCAATTATTTATGAGTGTTTCTAAATTTGACAATAATTTTGTCAATCACAGTTTCAATTTCGGGTTGAATGATGTAGAAAATTCTGAAATTTTAACAAGTGGTGTAAAAAAAATCACAAAAAAAGTATTTTTCATTTTTTCTAATTGTATTCTGAAAAAATTTGAATTTGAAATATAAAATACCTTTGAAATGTTCAAGATATCATTCTAATTTTTTTAAATAGGGATTAGATAATGAATTAGCTTAAGCATAGGTTTTCAGTGAAATATTATTTTAAACTGGGCTAGACCGGGGTGGTCCAAACCAAGGCCCGCGGGCCAAATGTGGCCCGCCGTTTCATTACCTGTGGCCCGTGTCGCATTCGAAGGGTAATCAATAAATCGCATTTAGTCTTGTTTCGTCATAAAATTACCCACAAAATTGTTTTGACATATTGTTACATCACTAATGTCACTGAATTCACTAGTGTTATGGTTAGCTGAGGCAACTAGCGAAGTTTAATGATGTGCTTAGCTAGTCTAAATTGTTAACTGGCTTTCTATCTTTTTGGTCGAGAATGTATGCTAACTATTTTGGCATCATATAAAACCAACATCGAATGCAGATTCTGTTAGCCTAGGTTGGCTTGATGAATGGCAAATACTGACCAATGTGTTTGCACAATAAAAGTGTTTGTTTTGTATTGCACTGTTTACCTATTCTTGGCACTATTGTGGGTCGCTAACAATGCAAAAATAATTTTGTGGCCATCAGAACCGACAACCTTGGACCATTCTGGTTTAGACAGAGTGAAGGATGTCATTTGTCATTTAGTTTGGCAATGCCCAATTGATAAGTTTTTGGTCCTTCCAAAAATAGTGGCACCTCATGTATCAACATATAATTTTCTAGAAACTTTTTTGGATTAAAACACTTCATAAATGATTCTCTTGGGCAATGCCAAATAGGAAAGTATTTGGTAAAATTTGGTAATAGATTAAGGGCGTAGCTGTTTTAACTCCCATATGAAGTGTGAAAAAAAAAAAAAAATTTCGAAACCGTTTGCTATTACGTTCTGACTTAGCAATTAGAAGTTGGTTCTCAGTCGTTCTGTTTGTTTAATTTTAATAGAAGTTTATTCAAATTTTTTACTTCATATACACGTTTATATGCCCTCAATTAGTTGCAATTCATTTGAAGGTTTTATGAACACCCTATGCTATTAAAATTAGATAGAAAACTGAGTGCATACCTTTACACTGGTATCCTTGCTTATTCAATCCCCACATGAAATCTTTGCAGACAGAACAGAACGTAGGCTGGCGGAAAAATTTGGCTGTGAATTCGTGACCTTTGACCACATGAACTTTGGCCTTTTTCATCGCACCTCGTCGACGCTGAATCGTTCGCTCTGGAAGTTCCTGGTCTTGCATGACGTCTGAAATAAAAAAGCTTACGTTAAATCGTGCAATTAGATGTGATTTTCATACTCACCTCAAGGTGAGGAAAAGTTGATAGGATGGCAAAACACAGCCTCTTAACAGATTATCATTTCAATCAAGCGTTGGAATAGTTAACCAGATATTCATTTCTGATGTATGAATTTGCTTCAGTAGCAATCTTGTTAAGAATTACGGACGTCCATATATAATAATTTTGGTGTTGGGAATTCACATTGCACTAAATTGGATTTATCTTTTTGTAATATCATAATCTATCTCACATTTTCATCGAAAATAAAACATTAATGAAAAATGGCGAACCGCTGCCCAAAAATTATTTGGTCATATCAAGGATTTACCATCAAAGTCCATGCCTGAACCAAACTGGTAACTGTATAAAATACAACGGTTTTTCTCTATTATTACAAGTCATCTTACTGTCCTCCTCCGTTATATCTCACATAAACAAGTCAAATATTAGGTGTGATAGATTATTCAGTTTAATACACCAATGCACTATTAATTAAGGGACCAGGTTAACCATATGATTAATCCATCACATAGGCTTTCCTCTACCCATCAAAATACCAACAAAAGTGTATTCTGTTTCTTTTAAGCAAGTCATGGAATCATGTGGATAGATCCCCAAATGGGAACACTACTGCCCGAGATTATCTTTCAAACAAGGGGAACACTATGTATCACTACAGGAAATTCCTATTAATAATCAGTGGCAGTATTAATCATTGCCATTATGTTATGTAGCATGATGATGGGGATGTAATCAGGTATGGATACCTATATCCGAGCATGACACATTGCTGGGCCATACTTGAATGTGCGTTTATTTGTCTTGTAATGCATGTGCAAGACCATACTGGCCAAAAATGCAATTGCTCTCTCTTTGATAAAGAGTGTGATACAATACGGCTTCAAACTTGGCCACACATGAATGATCAATAAGTATTTTGAACCAATCAAATGCACTAAGATTGGCATGGGGCATGCAATAAGTTCTAAAATTACAAATAACTGAGCGTGGTACATGTATGCTTAAGAATTCTTTTTACCAAAATTTAAGGATGGTAGGGCGATGCTGAACAATAGTAATAACAAGTAATAATCTTCCTAGCCTATAGGTTAATATACACACAATATTTTTCACGATATGACACTCCTTCATGCCTGATCACACATGATTGAACATAGGATTGTTTGACTAGGTTAAGTAAAGCAGTAGTGACTATATAAATATTTTCTTCGGCATTGTACAAAGCTTGACTACAGTTACATAGTGGGATATAACACAGATTCACGCTTGGTCGCACATGAATGATCAATAGATTCTTAAAATAGCTGTTGCCTTAACCAACACAGGGCACTTCACAAATCCTCACTACAAATGAAGGTGTGCAGAGATGCGTCCATATACAAATATTTTTCATTCATGGGATGGAAGATTCATGTTTATAATGAGGGAGGGGCAGAGCGGTAAGATGATTTAATAATATGGATAATATGGTGAACCATGGTCTTGTACCCGATTACCGATCCACGTTGGGTATGGTATTATGGCTATATGAAATATCCAAACCTTCTTTCCCCTTTTGAATATATGAATACTCATAAAAGTATTAGGTAGTTTATGAGGTACATTCATCTTTATCAATGCATTCACCATTATCTGGCTAAATTGTGAAAATTTTCAGCATCATCTTGGCTAATATACGAGTCATCGTTTTCTTAATATGAGTGGGTAACTGATAAAGGTCAGAATATCCCATCCAAATATTCAATTCCTATATTACGCATAGTCAAGTACCAACTACCAACAGCAATTATATTCACGCCATTGCCATTCATGCATGACCAGTGCTGGGTGCCTATAATGTCAGTCAGGTACCAACAGCAATTATATTCACCCATGGTCATTCATGCATGACCAGTGCTAGCTGCCTATAATGTCAGTCAGGTAACAACAGCAATTATATTCACGCCATGGTCATTCATGCATGACCAGTGCTTGGCTGCCTATAATGTCAGTCAGGTACCAACAGCAATTATATTTTCGCCATGGTCATTCATGCATGACCAGTGCTGGCTGCCTATAATGTCAGTCAGGTACCAACAGCAATTATATTCACACCATGGTCATTCATGCATGACCAGTGCTGGCTGCCTACAGGGATGGCCAATTCGAATAAAGTATTCGAATGTATTCGAATATCTCGTCATTCGAATATCGGAATTCACGTTCATAAGAATATCGGATATTTGTATGACGTCACACATTTTCGACGCCGCTTTCAAGACGTTTCCGTTGAATGAAAACATTCTCGATAGAAACTTGCGCGTGATTGTTTTCATCACTCATCAGCGTAACGTGTTATTTAGGCCCGTAAACGCCTTTACGATTGTGTTATTTTCTCTAAAACGAAAATTTTCCACAAATTTGTTCCACGATAACGATAACATTTATTTTATTTTTGTACGCGCACAGAATTGTGAATCTGGTAAATACGTTTATTGGCGGCGAGTTTCTAAAGACAACGCAACTTTTTGATTGAAAAGCGGCAATTCAAAATACTGAAAATAAAACCGTAAACAACATAAGTTTTATTGAGGCCCGCGAAAATTAAAAAAACGCTTTTCTAGGCAGTGAAAATTGCAAGATTTCGTGTGCCTCTGTCACACATTATGTTTGGTTGGCGTTTAGAAACATATCGTCACTAATTGAGGGCGGGATTTGCCTGATTATCCATTACTTTCAATTGCCGTCGAATATTTTCGGGTTAACACGATACAAGGTTTGAAACGCGACTTTTTCCCTGGTTGTGAAGATGTATATGATATAATTAATCTAAAGTATATTCAATCAATTTTATTGTGATGAAATAAATTTTACTCTGAGATATTTTACTCTGAGCATTTCGATCGAGCGGAGTCACTGTTAACAAGTACATTTAGATATTTGCCGAATTCGCAAAATACGGATAAAAACAATATTTACTCGGACAGTTTACCTCACGTTTTTGTTTTTATGGCCCCGGATTGCAATGGTATATAAGAGTGGTGAGGATTTTATTTTGTCGACGCAACCGCAGAAGACAATTAAATTAATAAGAGCAAGACATTTTAAATATGTCCGTGACGGTCACGAATTCATCACTTTGCACAACAGAAAAATATATATTCGTTGTTATATTATTTGTTGTAAAAGTCGACTCTTTTAACAGGTGGCATAATCGCGGCGATGAATATGTATTTTTAATTTACTGCTAAACTTTATATGTATATTCATTGTATGAAATGAATTATTCTCTACACTTAACAGGATTTTATATAATTATTTGAGATTTTTCTAACGGCGATAACGAGATGGCAAGATTGCAAAAATACATATTAAAATTAAATACATCAAGCAGTTTATCTCGTAATTTTAGGTCACAGATTGCCGTGGACCGAATAGTAATGTTTTTTTTTTGACGTAAGAAGAAGCAACCGCGAGTTATGTTGGACACATTAAATTAATATATAAAGATATTTTAGAATCTCGTAGTTGTCATGGATTGAATATTTTACGTAACAGAATGATCATTATACGCTGACAAGACGGCTCTTTGAACGAGCGCGGAATCGCGGTGGGTGTTACAGGCGGCAATGAGAATTTCCGATTTTGAAAATCCTGGCTGCGCGCTGGCAGTGGTGGACATCTATTCTCTACTAATTTATTTCTAACTCCAAACACAACAATATGTTACACATAATATCAATATGGTTCACATAAATTTATATACAAATATACTGGTAGGTAGTAGAATACTCTAGGCTTAAATATTAGAATTTTTAAAGGCATAATGGATTTTCCATTGTTGTTGCCTGTATTGCCAATAAATTTTATTACTCTCAGAAAATATACACAATTATCTGAATATAAAGAATATTTTTGTCAATAGACTCGACTATTATCGTAATATCATGGTACCAATGATAGAAAGCGTCAGACAACTCCTTGGCTATCTTTTCATATGGTCATTTCTACAAAGTGAATAATTTTGATAAACTGACTGTGTCACAAGTTGGTATTATTTTTTATTAAAAGCTATAAACTATCAATTACTTTGTGTACCTATACTGTTGGTCTGTGGCTTCATTCTGATATTTCTATTGAAGCTTATTTCCTAATTTACTGGGTTTTAATCAACTAAAACAAAAATGTCTTATTTTCGATTTTAGAATGTATTCGGAATTCCAGATTCGAAAACATTATTTTAGAATGTATTCGGAATAGTTTAGTATTCGGAAATGGCCATCCCTGGCTGCCTATGATGTCAAACATTGACGCTTTGCCAAGAATCAGAACAGAAACTGTAAGCCAATTATTACTAGAATTGAAATCAAATTAATGCTAAATGCAACCAAATTATAACTTTCATTAATTGGTAATTTGATCAATTTCTTTTAAGAAGACAAATTTGATTGAATATTTGCCCAATAACTGACTTGGTTGTCTATGAATTATTATAATCAGGAATTGGAATTGATTAGTAACTTGTTATTTCAATTTCATGAATCCCTGCAATAAAGCATTAAAGCATAATCCGACAGTTTATGTTCAAAAATGTGCACAGATGGGTGGAAATCCATAATATTTTTGCTCTTGGATCTGCGTTAAGTCTTTCACAGTTTTGCCTTTATTACTGCAAGGTCAAGCTTTTCATTAAGAGAATTTTTTAATTCGTTGTTTACATGGAAAAACTATTTTTTTTTTGCGTGGCCCAGACGTCCGAAGTTGTGTATATGGCCCACCGACAAAAAATGTTGCACAGCCCTGCTTTAGAATGGATATTTGATAGATAAAGTCAAAAATATTATTTTATTATAAATTCGAAATAGGAGATTATTCGGTACTCTGATATCCATAATTTAATTAAGGACATAAATAACAAACAGAACACTGTCTGTAATGATATATTCTACATATAAGATAGCCATA